ATTCAGGCGCCGACTACTAGCGACATCTATGGAGCGTATGAGCAGGTCTTCCTACTCGGGGTAGCGCAGGAAGTGAGACGGCCAGTGTGAATGAGTCCATCCTGATCCGGTAGCTGTTGGTTTGTGGTGCGTTTCACGACAAGTGGTTGTGACAGACTCACATACGTACTCTGTGATGGCAAATCAAGAAGTTTTGCTTGCCGGAAGGCGTGCACGTGAATCCCATCCCGTGTTTAGCGAAGTGGTAGCTAACAGTCATCAACTGCATGACACATCTGAAATTATTTCATGGAATGCTTCAGAATCGGCTCATTTTCCATCGGCCGTTGAATAGGGATGTGCACGAACGTTCGTGTTGATGCATTCCAACTATGACACGGTCAGAACGGAGTGAATTAGCGGCTAGCGCTACCTATGTAGCCTGGCGAGAAGCCCCTTTTTTAACCACGATTAGTGTGACTCTCGGTTCAAATATGAGCAACTATTGTTCAGTATTGTTATTACGAGCGAGCGAGCGCAGCGAGCGAAGTGAGTCTTTTCAATATAACGGAAAAATCTCAGTATGAGCGGCCCGGCCCGGCCCGGCCCGGCCCGGCCCGGCCTGTAACGCTTTTGAGAGGCTTATATCTCAGCAACCGCTGGACCGATTGGCCTGCGGTCTTTTTTGCTGGGTAGCCCCATCCCTTCTACCCCGTAATTGACTACTTTTGATACACCTCAGTGACCGTCGTGGCACGTGCCACGTGAAAAGTCAAGGGTGTTCAAGCTGTTTTGCAAAAGTAGTGATTTTGAGAGGCTCATATCTCAGCAGCCGCTTGGGCGATTGACTTGCGGTAATTTCTATAGGGTAGCTGCATCCTTTCTACCAAAAATAGGATACTCTAGATGCATGTGGGTCACCCCCAGTGCACGTGCAAAATACAACAATAAGAGGTGTCAAATTTGTTCCCATTTTAATAACTCGGTAATTACTGGGGCGATTTCGCTGAAACTTGGCATACAGGTAGGCACCCACCAGGCAATGCATTCCCATGTGTTGCGGTTAGGGTGCTACTGCACGTGCGCACGTGCAGGGGGCGTTTCCAGATCTCGAGAACGGCTGGGCCGATTGCGCTCAAATTTGGTACACGGTTGGGGACCGGTTAGTAGGGTGCCGTGCAAAAGTCCATTTGGACCCCGTTTGCACGTGCGCACGTGCAGAATGCCGCTTCCAGATCTCAGGAACGGCTGGGCCGATTGCGTTCAAATTTGGTACACCGCTAGCGACCGGTTAGAAGGGTGCTTTGCGCAAGCCCGTTGGAAGTACCCTCTCGCCCTTCCGCACGTGCAGGGCTCACTATCTCGCTCGCTCGTTCTTCGCCCAAAAGGCGTTTTACTGGTACATATTTATAAAATCTGATGGCCAATACAGGGTGTCTCAGAAGTTCGTTGACACATTTCCCATGCCAATAAAGCATATAAGAACCGGCCAAAAATCTAAGGTTTTGGTGTTTGTGTGTACACTAGACAAATATGCATGCTTTGACAACTGATTCGGATGGTTGGAAATCACACCCTTTGCTGTATCTCCAAAAATATTTGCCCATACCGATTTTCGTCGCTCCGTCAGCTGCCGGAGGCTGATAAAAGGTTACCACTTACCAGCTTTCAAGCTCTTGTAGGGGAATCCCCTGCAGTTTCTGCGTCGAATTTAGGTTTGATGAGCTCCCCGGCAACATCCGCTTCTCCCTGAAAGCCTCTAGTGCCCTCCTGATATCAGGAGGGCACTAGAGACTGCACACATCAAGACCAAGAACACACTAAACACAAGAGGGGGATTTTATTCGATGGCAGTAGCGACAGCCAGATTATCCTTGCTGACATGGAGCACGATTGTGGGGAACGAATGTGAAATATCGAAATGTCATTACCATGAGTGATTTATTAATGCTGTTGTTATTTTAAAATGTGATTTGTGACTTTTGGTATATTTTGTCTCATTTACTGACGATGGCACATTGTTGTCGAAACGTCTAAAATACAAAAAGATTTAAAATTTAATTATCATTTTGGTTACGGAGCGAGCGAAGCGAGCGGAGTCTTTCCAACGGAAATTTCTGAGTATGAGCGGCCGGCCGGCCGTGCGGACGCTTTTGCGAGGCTTATATCTCAGCAACCACTTGACCGATTTACATGCGGTAATTTTTGTAGGGTAGCTTCATTCCTTCTATTTAGTATTGGACTATTTCTGATGCATGCGGGTGACCCCTTATGCACGTGCCACGTGCAAAACGAAGAGGTGTCAGTTTTGTAATTGTTGCAATATCTCGGTAACTACTTGGCCGATTGCGCTGAAAGTTGGCATGTAGGTAGGCACCCACTAGGCACTGCATATCCATGTGCCAGAGTTGGGGTGCTGCTGCACGTGCGCACGTGCAGGGGTCGTTTCCAGATCTCGAGAACGGCTCGACCGATTGCGCTCAAATTTGGTACACAGTTAGGGACCGGTTAGTAGGGTGCCGTGCACAAGTCAGTTGAGACCCATTTGGCACGTACGCACGTGCAGGGTTCCGCTTCCAGATCTCGAGAACGGCTGGGCCGATTGTGCTCAAATTTGGCATATCGCTAGCGACCGGTTAGTAGGGTGCCGTGCACAAGTCAGTTGGAGGTACCCCCTCGAAATTTTGCACGTGCAAGGCTCACCCTCTCGCTCGCTCCGTTAGTCGCCCCAAAAAGCGTTTTACTGGTCGATATTTCTAATATGCTGTGCGCTAACTACTTTTCTCAGTAATTACGGAGCGAGCGAAGCGAGCGGAGTCTCATACTGAATTAAGGGAAAATTCTGAGTATGAGCGGCCGGCCGGCCGGCCGGCCGTGGGAACGCTCTTCAAAAGCTAATATCTTAGGAACGGGACATCCGATTGACAAGCGGTCTTCTTTACTGAATGTCACTTGGACGTAAAAGTTATGTGGTGTGATGGCCACCATGCGTTCTTGCCAACTACCGCACGTGGCGCGTGGTAAAGTTGGACATTTTTTAAGAACCCCCAAAATTGCAACCTCAATAACGGCACAACGGTTGGGCCGATTGAATTGAAACTCGGTACACAGTTAGGTCTCCATCAGATAATTCATCTGCATGTGTTAAGGTTGGGGTGCTACAGCACGTGCGCACGTGCAGGGGGCGCTCCCAGATCTCGAGAACGGCCTGGCCGATTGCGCTCAAATTTGGTACACGGTTGGGGACCAGTTAGTAGGGTGCCGTGCAAAAGTCAGTTTGGACCCCGCTTGCACGTGCGCACGTGCAGTGTGCCGCTTCCAGATCTCGAGAACGGCTAGGCCGATTGCGCTGAAATTTGGCACATCGCTAAAGACCGATTAGTAGGGTGCAGTGCACAAGTTAGTTGGAGGTACCCCCCCGCAATTTCGCACGTGCAAGGCCCATCCTCTCGCTCGCTCCGTTGGTCGCCCAAAAGGCGTTTTACTGGTTCAGCTAGCAATTCTCGTGCTGTGTTCAAAAAGATGTTTACAGTGAGGGTCGAACTTGAAATAACAACGAACTATAGTTACCGTGTATTTTCATATTTATAGCAATTTTAATATGAAGAACAAATGACAATATAGTTGCATGAGTGGAAATAAGGTACCTACTCGTTCCCTTTTCTTTTGTTTTATAATTATCACACCAGTGAGAATTATCACCAGCGCCCCAGTGGCGGTCTCGGCCAACTTCGCCCTAGTGAGGGGGGGCATATGTTACCACCCACCTCTAACTCAAAAACTAAGAGGGCTAGAAAGACGCGGTAAAAAGCAGTCGATAGCTCTCAATACGTACGTTTGAAAGTATTTCGGTCATTTTTCACCTTAGAGCAATATTGGGGTCACCAGAGGTCATCAAAGGTCAAAATTTGCCAATTGTCATTATATTTTTCAGAAAACATGCCGCTATCTCAGGAACTATGGTAGCTAGAAAAACGCATGGAAAAGCAATCGATAGCTTTTGAACTTTTCTTTTGAAAAGATCATTATCAATATTGTCCTCAGGTCAATGGTTTAGCCTCCAGAGGGCAAAAACTCCAAAAATAGCTGTTTTTACGAAAAGTGTTTTTCGACAATAACTTTCGACTACAAAAAGCCACGACATTTCTATTGCCAGAATCGTGTTTCCCTCACCGAGACGCGTCGAATGAACTATAATTTGACCTTGAAAGGTCAACTTAAAAATTTGACCTCAGGTCAAGGTCATGACCTGACCGGAAAAGGTCATGTTGCATATCAGTCGATGCGTCTCAACAAGACAAACACAATGAGACCATCCCCAGCGTTCTATCTCTTTCCAATCGCGAGTTATTGGCAAAAAACTGTTTGTAGCCTCAAATGACCTCGGATGACCTTTCTAGAGGCTATCAGCAAAAATGACACCTTGGTCATCACGAGTGGACTAAATCATTGTGATTCTGAAATATTTGGACTGTTCCTATGCGTACACACGGATCTAGAGGCATCTTCATTTTTCTCCATTGACTTGTAATGGAAAGGTCATGCCACTGACTTGACCTTAGGTCACGGATATAAAAAATTCGAGATATACAAATTGTAGGCTCCCATAACAGCATGCACGTTCCACCAAGTTTAAAACCTTTCTGACAAACACTGCAGGCTGGACATGATTGCAAACTTCTTTTAAGGCTTGGTCAGTTAACTTGACCTGGTGACCTGACCTGACATGACCTGGGGTCAAAAATTTCACACATTGTCCAAAATTGATGTACCAAAAGCTACCCCAAGCGGCGCGGCGCTACGCGCCGCGGTTTTTTATTCACACGCGAAAAACGCGACAGGGTGGTAACATATGCCCCCCCCCCCCCCACTGGGGCGAAGGTTAATGTCTGTATTTCTGTTTTTTGCATTGTCAGAAATAACGTAACGTGGCTTCTTTTTTTTAATGCCTCGCCTTTGACACATTTTCGCCAAAAAACAACGAACATACATTGCCTCCGGTTGTTAAAAAGTCTTACAAATTGTATGGTCTCTGTTCATGTAATTATACAATTAAAACAATTCATCACACTCATTGAATAAATACATTGTGACGCTGTGGCCACGTCATGTACCTATATGGCACCGCCCTGCCGCGCGGCTGGCGTTATCATCTGACGTGGCGTCACGCGGCGGTTCACGTCAGCGGACGCCATCACAGCTGTGTCACTGCCACCATCGACGATCCAGACGCCTGGCTCGACGGTACACCGCCTCCTGGAGTTGCCGGCCAGTGCCGATCCTGGGGACAGGCGACGGCTGTTATACGGGCGGAAAATGGCAGAATATTTTTTTTTCGGAGGCTGCTGCTTGATTAAGGATTAATGCGCTATCATAATTAATTGAACACTGTGCGACTTAAAGAGTTGGTTCACGGTTAGGTTTGATGGTAGTCATTTATTTATCGAGCTTTATCAGTGTGGAGAACAATTATAACATACCTACTTATGAGACCCACTACGCCAAATAAGCCGCCAAGAATACAAACTACGCCAATAGTATTCACTCAAAACACTGCGTGTGTTCCACCCCTCTCCCGCACAACGATCAACCATATCCACCATTCCCCCCTCCCCGCCCCCACTCATGTCCACCCCCTCCGTACCTGTCAAGCAGAGCTATGTCGGTGTGCTTTCTGCCATCTCTCTGTAATCTCTGGGAAATGATCTCCTCCAGCTCCGATCGGCGATTCTCCCCGTCCCCGAGCCAGGCCGATCTGTAGTCGGCAAACCTTCCGATCTTTTCTCCGCCGTACCGTCTTCCTGTCTTCCCAAACCCGCTCAGTGCCATCCTAAACGGTATCCTATCGTTCTCCATCATTGGATCAACATCGCTTCCTAGATTGTATTCTATATACTCTCCACTGCCGTCTCTAGAACCTTCCTCAACATCTGCCAGTCGGTCGGCGGTCTCGACGGGACTGTCCTCCACGAGCTCGGTGAAGCGTCCGACTCCTAGGGGTGGCGACTGGTCACCGATCTCTGTGTGTCGTCCTATGTTGAGATGAGGCTCGTCCTCCGGTCTTATCAGGAGAAGGTCAGAGTCTGTAATCGTATCGTCGCTGCTCTTTGTTAGGCTGGTGATTGAGTCGCTGAGAGTCTGTTTCTGTGGAGTCTGATCGTCCTCGGATTTATCGGTCTCTTCAGAGTCGGTCTCTCCAGACGACTCCATCTGCGGTTAAAAGACAAAATCATTAGTATAGAAGCGAAGACATTTTGAATGTGGAAACATTTTGTTTCAAAACGAAACGATATCTTTTACTAACCGTATGTAGAGATTCATTCATTCCTTCCGCCTTTATCGCTATGAAAGCATCACTGTTCGAGCTGGGACGAAGGCGATGCACCTACCATGACGTCATCGTCCTCAGTCGTGTCCTCGGGCGGCAGGGCTGTCATCTTATGAGCGGGCACCGCTGTCCCCCACAGTATCAACTTTAGCTTCTGCAGCTCACCGTAGTTGTCTTCAAACGTCTGTGACACACAACGGCCGGTCAGTGGTTGAAGAATTTATAATAACGGCATGAGTAGCTGCTATCTTTGAGGCGAGTTTATAATTCTGTAGTGGTATTTATATTGACTATTCAATTGGTGAATGAAAAGCTCTGAATGAAAATGTCCACCTTCTGGCATTATTTACTATTTCATTCCATTATGGGGCGTTGCAGGGCCCTTTTCTCAAACATCCGCCCGTTTCCAGTCTACTGACTCTCAAATCAGCTCAGCCCAGTGCCGCGCTCAGCTGAGAGATGTCAGGAGTACTTACATCGTCGCGAACCTCGAGCATCCATTTGCCGTCGGGGTTTTCGCCCCAGGTAGCGACCGACATCAGCTTGAAGCCGTCAAAGCCGTCAGCTGAGTCGTCTTTGCGCCGAGGCCTCAGTATGGTCACGGTAGTGCCTGCCGGGTATCGAGTATTAGGGTGGGATTGTGGTTGTCGACCGTACTCACTGACGTACTTGTTGTTGAAACTTTGCAATTTATATGCATCAGGAGTCGTGATTTAGATGTTAATCTGGACAATCGCAATCCAAGGCATAAGTCGTCATCCATGGCAATGTTTTGAATTCACTTATTTTATCTCACAGAGTCGTCGACGGAATAACCCATTGAAAGTCGAAGTCATTTCCGAGCTCGAAATATAAATGAGAAAGTTCAACTCTCCGGCCACCGCTCGTGACTGCCGCACCGCTACATAAACGTCACACATTAATTAACGATATATGAACACCTCACAATTAACATACTACAGGTGGAGATTTCCATTTCGCGTCTAGCTAGACGCGTCTAAGTCTTGACGCGTCTAGCTGGACGGCAGCTGCGTCTAGCTGGCGACGGCTAAATTTAGACGCGTCTAGCTTGGAAGTCTCCGTCCAACAGTTAGACGCAAAGTTAGACACCAACTTGAACGTCTGCTCAGTTAGACGCCAGTTGGAAGCCAGTGGAAGTCTCCACCCTACATGTAGACTAGTAACCGTACCCTGTGGCGAGGTGAGTCGCATTCGGAGCGCCCCACGTCGGGTGTAGTTGAGACTGAACACCAGCTCGACGTGCTCTAGGTGACGGATTTGATACGGCCCGTCACAGCGGGCAGAGAGCGTCACCGTCACGGGGCCCCGCGAGCCCAGACGGCGCCACTCAGCGCTGTGGGGAGAGAGAGAGAGAGAGAGAGAGAGAGAGAGAGAGAGAGAGAGAGAGAGAGAGAGGGGGGAGGGAGGGAGGGAGGGTTGGTGATAATAATTTCAAAGTGTGAATTTCGAAGATGTTGGAACATTCGATTGACCCTTGTTACATCTTCGTATCTGCTGGCGCATTTATTCGTAATTATAACCCATTTTTTAATTACTTTATGATGGGATCGTGCCTAAAAATGTCTACTAGCTCGGTGAAAAACAACTCCAAGCTACGTTAGGTGGGGTGTTGAAAAGTGTCTCACCTCTGCTCCCCTGGGGCCTGACAGAAGCGTCTGATGGCGCTGGCCGACTGGGAAGAGTTCCACGTCCTGGCCCCGGCCACCAGAGCCGCCGCGTCCATCAGGCCAAAACCCACCCTGCAGAGTTCGGGTAAAAAATGCGGGTCACTGCTGGCCTCGCCGGCCCCCAAGGGCACAGACGGATCACTGACCTCACCCCAGAGGGCACGGATTGAAGGGCACGACAAATCGATCAGACTAACCTATCAAGGATCATATGTCCGATGACGCTTGGTCTCGACTTATCTGCATAATAAAGTAAAAATAGCCAGCAACTACTGGCAACCTCTAGTAGCGTATTTTCTGTGAAAATCGTACTGAGAGCGGGCGGGCTCACCTGGTGCTGTAGCGCAGACCGATGGCGTTTGACACCCACTGGCTGTTGGCTCTGAGTACGGGTTCGGGCCGAGAGGTGTAGACGACCAGGTGCTGAACGTCCCTCCAGGTCAGCTGCGGGCTGGGGGGCAGATGGACGGGTAACGCCTGGCACTGCAGCCCTGGTGTAAAGTACGAATGTTTACATACTTAGTGTTTACTCAGTGTTTACTCGTATAGCGGGTGTTTGTGAGACAATGTGAATAGGTAGACGTTATTGCAGCGTGGCTGTCTTTTTATCATAGCATCTTGTTTATAAAGGTGTTTAATTTTTAGTGTTGCGGTATTGACAGGGCTTTTGCACTGCCAAACTTCTGCGCTAAAGTGTGCCCGAGACGCGGGCTTAAAAAGGCTTCTGTTTTGGCGTAATGTTTGCTTTATTTTGATTAGTAAAAAACAATGGCCTGTCATTCGCTATTGCCGCATAGAAGTTTGCATTCAATTAAAGTGTTTGAAGTTTCCATCAACTTTGCGAAACGCGCTCCGATATTCTCGGTAGGAAGCTGTCTGGTACATTCCCTGTCCCTCTCTTCCTGTCTGCTGCGCCCATTCAAGCTCTACCGGCTCAAACTGCTTCTAAAGACGGTGTAAGTAAGTACAGGAGGGTGACTTGGGCACTCACTTCACCTCCAGCATCAGGGCCACCATGCTGGCTGCCATCGGCGCAGAGGCGGACGTCCCAGAGAAACCGCTCGTGCATCGGTCGTGCATGGCCGTCGTGATCTGGCGGGGGTGCGTGCAGATAAGAGTTTGGTTGTCTGGCAGTGCAAGAATGAACGAGACTATGATCTGCCCATTGGCCATTAGTGCAGGTCTTACTACATAGTGCAGGGATCTGCGGTGTACCAAGAGCAATCGTGCTAAGCATTTCGTTGCCGATAAATGACTCCGATAACCGATTCAACAACACGGTTAGCTGGTGGAATAAGTCGGAGATGGAACTCTACAAGAAATCACCAGAATCATCTTCGACCACTACTGTATCTATTTTACAGCGTCTTGCCCTGCGCTCTCACCACATTGTTGGGGTGGCCGACTGTGTAGGTAACTGACAGAGTCGACGAGCAAATCTCTCCATACCAGGGCATGCGGCCCTCCTGATCCACACTGCCCACGGACAGGGTGAACGGGCTGGACGCGTAGCCGTCACACGCGCAGTTGTCGTCGGCGGCACCGCCTCCGTTACCGCTCGCCCAGACCAGGATCACTCCGCGACCCTGACGGCCCTGTGAAATGGGAGGATGATGGTAATTTGCCTCTGGAGGACGGTGGACATGATGCGTGATATGGGCAGCGTGATTAAGTTACTGAGTACGCTCCTCGATTGATGCTGCTTACAGACGCATAACGTGACATAATACATTGTTTAAGTTCCAACCGATTGCGGTGGATGTGGCATGTGCGCAATATCTTCTCTCGTAATCTTTCATCTTTGCCACTCTATGGACGGAGCCGGCGTCTGTATCTCCATTGCAAGCTCTTCCAGACTTTCCTTCGCGTCAGGTTTTGCTCAAACTCGCTCACCTCTTCGACGCAGGTCTCGATGGCGTCCTGTAGCAGCCTCCCGGGCATGTCGGCCACGTAGCCGCTGTCGGTGGGTCCCCAGGAGACGGAGATGACGTCGGCTCCCAGACAGGCGGCGCTGAACGCCTCGCCCTCGGTCCGGTCCGTGATGACACCGTCCAGTAGACGCACCGCTGCCGAGGGGGGACGAGATGTGAGGGGCGACTGGAGAGAAATGTGCAGAGAGTGAGGTGGGAGGTCTGTCATAGAGAGAGGCTAGGAGAGCAATAGGCATTTACTTTTTCAGGCAAAGCAGTAAACTAAACGTCTCATGTGACCACTGGTCACACAAAAACTGGCTTCTTTTTATGTGACAATTCATCCCTCTGTGTTTCAGTTGTCGCCTTTCTGCTAAATCCTATCGGAAGTGTAACTGACCTGACCTCCCACATTCATCACTGATTGGGGCAAAAAGTTGTCTTTTAGCCTATCGGTGCGGCTTATTTTTATCCTGCAGTCAGTTCCGTTCTTGTCTGTCCGGCTCACGTTAGGTTTTCTTGGTTTTTACACCTTGTCGCCACTCACCACCGAGTCGTGCGCCCGTTGCCATGCCGACGCCGCAGAAGTCGTTGTTCGGCTGCATTGAGACAATTCCGGCGCACTTTGTGCCGTGTGCGTTTGTGTCTGTATCGTCGTAGCGTGGCGAAGGGTCCCGGTCGCCGTCCACGATATCATAGCTGAGACTCGGGTCCTGGCGGATGAGATATGACAGGTAGATCAAAATGATGGCCGCCTTTTCTTTCAGATGCAAGCAAAGTTTAGTAGTATAAGGCGAGCGCAGATGACCTAATGATTATGACCCACGCACAACCAACAGACAACACTCACGAGAGATCTCCCATTTACAAAGAATTAAATTACCAACTTCATATCTATGTCACGCATCGCTTCCCGTGCCAATCCAGACTCTACAAACCCTCACTTCGGCGATCTCGTCTCTGTCATATCGAGTACCTAACCGCTTATTGTTTCCACTCGGTGATCGGTGAGCTATCCGCCTTCTGCGTAACTCACGTAGGCGTGTGCGATGTCCGTGTGGTTGTGCTCGACTCCGTCGTCGATGATGACGACGCCCAGCCGCGTCCCGTGACGCCCTGTTCCTCACCCTCCAGCACGTTCATGGTGTTCTGGGCCGCCTGAGAGCCGACGCTCCTCGGCCGAGTGTTTCGGCGACTCTGCCGCGGCGCAGAGATTAGGCGTGGTCAGCCGAGGTCAACCACGGGGACATCCATACAAAGACACACAGAGAAAGAGAGAGAAAGAGAGAGAGAGAGAGAGAGAGAGAAGAGAGAGAGAAGAGAGGAGAGGAGAGGTGAGAGAGTGAGAGAGATGAG